GGCTTCGTTTCTCATTTGGTGCACTGTTTTATTTTGCGGGAGGGAGAGAGCATCTGGGACAAGTCCTGTGATGAGACTGAAATCACTGTACAACGTGCTGTACTGGTACATCTCATGAGCATCTGCTTTCTCTCACGTTCGTGGTCAATGCTCCAGGCACACACACACAGAGTGTGTTGAACAGACATCTGTTTTTGGGGTGCAAAACAAAACCAGCGTGGGTGGCTGTGCCACGGAAACGATGTGCACTGTGGTATAAGCTCCTGTCTGCAGATCAGATAGTATGGAGAATGCTTTCATGAAAATTACCTATGGGGAATTTGACATCATGTCCCATAGAAAAACACTCTGTTACTATCTCTTCTCTCCCTGGAGTGTTTTAAGGTATTTGAGCACAGAACAAGCTATGACAAGTAACTGGAGAAGAACTGGAGATGGCTGTCACTTGTTCTGGGAGATGAATGCTGGCTACATCCTGGCTGTGTTTGCTGGTGCTGTTCTGGTCCCTGGACACTCCTCTTTACCATAGCTTCGGGCCAGTGGTTTTCAGCTTTTTAGTGGCCTGTTACCAAATGCCTCACCAGTGTGTTTTCCACAGCTTGCATGTTTTCTGTTTCTCAGCCTGGTGTTTTGACTCCTTAATTCCTATGGGCTCTGAGTAATTCCGGAAGATCTTGCAAATAACTTACTATCCACAAACTGTAAGTTAGGTTTTGCTGCCATGTGCAGTCACAAGCATTTTTCCTTATTGCTGGGTTTTCTGATGCCCCTAATATGTCAGTTAAGAGTGTATTGTTACCACCTTCTAAGGCCGGACTGTCAAGTGCTCAGCATCCATAGCTATGCTTGTGTCTGGCATCTTGGAAGGCAAAAGGACCCCGAAAAGTTAGGTCTGCTGTGCCCACATTAGACTACTTCATCTTCTTGGGGACATGAAAATCTTTTCTTTGTTTTTACATGGACCAGCTGATTCCAAGCAGATAGATTGGCCCTGTTTAAAGTAGAGGAGCAGCTAAGGTGCCAGCAGGCTTTGCATTCAGCCGACTATTTTGTTCAATTCTGTAATTTACAAGGCTCATTCATCCCTCTTGCACCACAAATTAACCTTCCTTTTGTCTGACCATTTCCATCCTCCTTGATTTCAGTCCTCGGTCCATTGCAGTACTGGTTTTGTGACTCTGATAAGCTTCCTTTGAGAAGCTTATCTGACAAGCTTCCTTTGAGAGAGAATGAGCGGTCTGGAAAGACTCTTACTGTGCAAGGAAGTGCTTTGTTGCCTGGAAGAGTTAATTTTTTTTATTTTCTTTCCAGGACACACTAGTATGAGAAGAATGGAAGAAATGTGGAAAAATAAAGCAAATGCCTTCAGAACAGAAGTGAATAAATAACTGAAAGACCAGAAGAAGGAAGGCAGAAGCAGATTTTTTATATATATATGTCAAAAGGGTGCCAGTTACACTTTTTTTAAAAATCTGATTTTCATTGTTGTGTTCATGCTGCTTGCATGCTTTTCATGTGAATCTGGAAAATCCTTTCTTCCCTGGATACTCCCCCCTTTTTCTCCCAGGACGTTTGAATTTCCTTTAGAAAAAGAGGAAAAAGAAGATATAATTCTGCCTTTCCCCAGATGCCCTCTCCTCATCTTAAAAGATTTGTGAATAAAAAGGAAAGAATGGTCCTGAATTTTGTTTTTTGGCTGTCTCAGAGGCTGTGATTGGAAGTTGGGCTCACACGAGAATGAAAAGAGCTTTTTCTGGCGGGTAATTTTGTGTATGAGTCATTGCTGTGTGTGAAGCTTCCTGTTCTGTCATGTCCTTTCCCAGAGGGACATGTTTATTGGGGGGGACTTCCCACTCCTGCCTGCACCTTTGTGTGATGCTGTCATCTGCGTGTCTCCGCTAATGGCTGTTCTCTCTGCCTTCAGGATGGTGCCAGGCTGGGCTGTGCTGAGTTGCAGTGGACCATTGGGGCTCAGGCAGGAGGAGTCCTCAGGGCCTGGCTCTTGTGGGGAGCCAGCTGTGGTGCTGGCATGCCTGGCTGTGTCTGACCTTGCAGGTTTGGTGGATCCCTTGGGCAGGTTCACTTTCTTTCCAGCCTCTGGAAGTAACCTTTTCACTCCAAATACGAGTTTGAGGTTACTGCCTCTGTTCTGCTATGAAGCTGGTTGCCATGTGGCCACATTTGAGTTACTTGAGCTCTAACTTCTTGATAAATCGCTACCTTCAAGACCACTAAGCAGTGCTGAGGCAGCAGACTCGGGCTTTATTGAAGGACATGCTGATAGTAATAACTAAAAGCCAAAATCTCCTCCTGTTGAGCAACTTCCATGTGGGAACTTAACAGTGGTCCCTCCCCAGCATCTATGTGTTGGCTCCTGTTTGTCCCATGTCAGACTAGTTTCTTTAAAGGCCTTTTGGCAAAGGAACTTTATCAAATGTCTTTTGGAGATCCAAGAAAATTAGTCAACCAGCAAGCATGTGGATAAAGGGTGTGGAGCCAAATCCTCCAAAGAACTTCATGTGTGAGACATGACTGCACTTCATAAAAGCCATCTTGCCTCTGCCCCACTGCAGTTGTTCACACTTAGCTCACTGTTTCTGTTCTTTGTAATGGTTCCTACCCATTTGTTCATTGTGAACATTTTACTGAATGCCGCAGAGGTTTAATGAACTACTCCTTTGACCTCCTCTGCACCCCAAAAACCTGGTCTCATGCTGCATTTAAGTCCTCTGGGACTAAAGGAGTTTTAAGCAAGAAATAGGCTACTATTTGTGGTATTTTACCCTGGAATTCTTTTTCACCCTGATGAGTTCTTTTTGAGCCTCTTACTTGGTTACTGCTTACTGCTTACTTAATCAGTTTTCGTTTATAACTGATTTTTTCTACTGATGCTTCATGCTAGGACAGTACTTTCCCTGTGCCTGTAGAGCTCTGGCACGTTATCCAAGGAGAGCACACATGCAAGAAGAAAACCATGGAGTGCTACTGTGATGTATCTTCTCTAAGCTGTGCGCGTTGCTATTGATTTTTCTACCTCCTTGGCTATGTGTTGGGAAAGGTTGGGTTTTTTTCTTTTGGCCTCTTATTCCTCAGACATTTTCTGATTTGCTTCATTTGTTTTTATATTTAATCTCTCAAAGTGTGAGCACTTGTTTCCTCGTTTTGATGCAAACTGGTTTCAAAGCAATCCCTTTTATTCCAAGTAGCTACACTCACCCAGCTGTTTAATCATGCAGACATAGGTGTTTCCAAAGTGTTTTCGATAGGTCTTTTGATTTTATTGGGAGTATCCAATCTAGTGTTTTCATATAGCTTTTATGCCACTTAACAGAATTTTATTTTTTTTTTTACTAGCATGTTTACTTACTACTTCAGGAAGCTGCTTTGTTTTTTATAATTCCTTTCCTTGGAGCAAGTGAGTCCTGATGGCTTCAGGTGTGTTAGTTGTTACAGAACAGATTTACAAACGCATTTTGAACCAGGCCTACTCAGGTTGTTTTTTCTTTTGCGGGTTCTCTGTCCAGCTGTACTGTGAAGCAGAAGGATGGCTTACATCTCACTGTGACAGCTGCCTGCCTACGGAAGGGTAACAGGTCGCCCATTAGTGCACTTGCTGCTGTCACTGCCTCACTGATCTCCTGCAACATTCCCTCATTTCTTCCCATCCTGCTGGGCAGTTAGTAATATTTTCATAGTGCTGGAATTGTAAAACCTGAACAGAGAGAATGTAATCTGTAGGCATTCGGTGCAAGTATGAAGTCATTTCCGTGCATACTGAAGCCTAATGTCCTAAAATATGGTCACCTGAGGCAAAATAGATGCTGTCTACTGCTGACTGTCAAGGAATTGTTCGGGTGCAAGGAAAAATGATTTCGCAGGCCTTAATATATGTTTGCATGCATTTCCAACCTGGTATTGAGTTATTGGTGCTGGACCTGGTGCCTTCATTAGCACAGCTCTGAGTCATCCTCGGTGCAGTTGACCACTGTCTTTGAGCAACATCTTCCATTCTGGGCCCAAAATCAAGAAACTAACATCTCAACAGACAAAGAGCCATCTTGACCTGCTGTTGGACAGGTTTATTTAGAACAACTTTTATTTCCTGCTAATGATGGGAAAAGCAGACCCCATCCTGATGTTATTTACACTTCTGAAGACATAATTATTACAGAAACAAGAGGAGAATTGGGGTGACAGGGAAGGAAGGAGCAGTATGAGATCACTGGGTTAATAACTAACTTCTTTGAAAACGTTTACGGTTGTAACTCTATCCACAGTGGAGTTCAGAGCCACTGGATGGCATGTTGAATTAAAACAGTGACAACCCAGTCTGATGCACAGGGATCTTCTTTAACTCTGGCAGAGCTGTAGCTTCAGTTTGCACGCCTCAAGGCTGAGCAGTAACTGTAGCTGAGCTTTTTCGAGTTCAGTTTTGCTGCCAGGGCTCTGTATCAAGGAGATAGACAGCAGGAGCCCACAGCAGTGTTTCTAATGGGTGGTAGATGTGTGGATTCATGTCTTAACTCACTCTGACTTGAGCCATGTGTGTGGTTGTGCCATCAGCATCTATTTAGAGGAGGCTGTAATCAATTTACTAAGTTGCCTAAAGGTGCCTTTTGGTGGCCTCATGTTTATTAATCAGGCCCTCAAACAGAATGATGACTTGGCAGAAATTTCACTACGCCTTGTGATTTGAAAGCCTTAATTAGTAGACAATATGTCCCCAGGATTACGAATGTACTGGTTGTTTTTGTCTTTGTGTGTAAAGCAGCCTGAGGTTAAACCACGGAGGTATTTTTTTTTCCTGATTCAGTATACAGACTAGTATTTAGAGAGGGGAGTTAAACTGCAAAGACTGAAGTAAATTAAGTAGTGCCTCAGAACTGTATTCCTTTGAACAGATCTGAGGAGTGTATGCATCAGTTTCCAGCTGGTCACATCTGGGAATGTCTTCATTGCTGTGAAGGGCTTACTGTACAGTTAGGTCCATGAGCTCTGAATTATTCTAGACAGAAGCAGGAGGAAAAGAGAATTATGAGAAATTTCTGTGAGCACACACAGAAGCATTTCACTCTGTAGAGGCTTTTCCTGGCTGACCTTATTTGCGGAAGGGTAACTAAGTCAAGCATGGCAAGAGGGATGCTGAAATGCCATGCTCTCCCAGCTGAATCCATAGGCACTATTTATGTAAAGTTCAGATCTCCACCCCCTCTCCAACCCGCTTTTTGTTTAGTATGCACACAAGTCTCTCCACAGCCCTTTATATTGTGCTGGCTAGGGTTAGACAGGCTTAATTTCTATGGGACAGAGAAGTAAGAGTAGGTTGCTTCAAACAGGACGACTGACATTTGTACGAGTGAAGGTATTCCGAAGGATGGACTGTCTGCTGCCTCTCAGTCCCCCAGGGCTGGCAAGATTTAGAGCCTAATTCAAGTTCCAGGTGACTGCTTTCAGGAGTGAGAGGTGCAGAAAAGAGTAAGACTTCTTCTATTCAGTGCAGGGAAAGCCTAAAATGTCCCAGGGATATAGAGGCAGGTTCCGCTCCTGGGGGAAGACTTCTGTCTGCCTTTAGCCTAGCTTAGACACTCGGGCACACTGTCTCAGGTGGCTTTACAAGGCGGCTTTTGGTTGCTGCAAGCCTGTTCCCAATCACATGCAGCTTCACAACACTCGTGGTCTGTCTGTTCAGACTAAGAGGACTTTAGGTACTTGACAAAATTGATTGGAAGTTTTTTCCCCTTAAATTGCAGCAAGCCCCCTTTTTCATGGACAGTAGTTGGCTTTGCTGAAGGAGAGCCTTCAAACCGCTTGAGCAGTGCAGAAGCAGCATTGTGTACAGAATTGAGCAGAGAATGGTACTCACCAGAGCATGGGGAGATGAAAAAGGGAGAAGTATTTACATGAGCTTAGCCAGAGTGCTGGGAAAGCCTTCTAACCGACTGCTGCTGATGTCCTGAGGCCTGTGGAAAGAAGAGAATAGGACAGTGATGGCATAATCGGGATTGAGAGAGAAATTCTTTTTTTCCACTGCTATTTTACTGAATTAGGGGGTTGAGAAGCCGGCACAGTGATGTGCTACTGTGTGTGGTGCAGGCTGGCTTAGGACAGGCTGCTCCTTATCTGCGCCCTACTTGCCCACGTAAGGGAAGGGCTGGGTTATGGGGTCAGGTAAGAGCTTTATTCTTTCCCAGAGTGTACCTGAGGGATGGTATTTAATCCAGTAGCTTCACATCTGGAAGCCAGACAGCAATAAGGACCTTGTCTTATTCCTGCGGTGAGCAGATAATGAACTAATTCCCACCTACCTCTGATTCTGCAGAATGGCTCCCAGGAAGTCCCTTAGTACCATCTGTTGGTGGTAGCGGCTGTCCATCAGGATGCTGTCAGACTGGCGCCTTGTCAGAAATTCATGCACCCCTTCTCCTGGGCTGTTCTCACTGCTTCTGTTACACAAAGATGAGAAACATCTTTGTTTCAGAGAGGCTTTTTAGTCCCTTGCTCAAAGTTTGGCTTGGGCTAAGCAGCACGGGAAGGGAACCTGCTGGGTCTGAGCCATTCTGCTTAATTTCAGTAAGAAATTGGTCAGCTGTATTTGTTCCTGGGTTAGAAGAGGGATTGGAGCTGGCTCGCGTCTGACTAGTTGCTCTTATTTAGTGGCAGTCACTGATCTATCTAGCCAAAGCTACCCGAGTGGTAGCGGAGAGTCTGTTTTCTGTGTTCAAACCAGATCAGGGATAACAGTTTCCTACTAGTGAATGATCACTGCAACTATTATTTGCAAATATTATTGCTTGTTGATATTATGGTAGAGGTCTCAGCTGATCTGATGCTTATAGCCTTGGAGGAAAGAATTAATTAGGCTGCTTAATGATAGTTGTGATTAGGGGGAGCTGAGACATGGGGATGCAGGATGCCCTTCGGGATGTGAAACAGCAGGAGAGGTTGCTTCTGTTGCAGTGGAAAGCAGCTATTTCTGCTACATGCATGAAAGAAACTGCCCAGTGTAATAAGCAAAACATTAGCCCTAGGACAGCAAAATGCTATGGCTTACCCAAGCCGCTTGCCAATGATGGTCTGTAAGAATTTGCGGGCGGAAATCCGTCCCAGGAATTTCCGGTAGTTGTCGGTGAATATGGCATCGGCATGGCGCTGCATCCTAAGGGTGAAAGACAAGCACAAGGTGTGCTCTTTGAGCTAGCAATGGGCTTTCTAGGTGAGAAACAGGTGTTTCGGATGACAGAACACAGCAGATGTAACACTGCTGATATCAGGGGCAGGTAACCATAGCAAATGCCTTTTGGTATTGGACTGTGTTAGTGTTGGAGGCTAAAAGGATTTGAGGGAGCTCAGTCCTGACACAGAGGCAGGAGGCAAAATAAAATATCTGTCAATCAATATCCACACTAAACCAGGTAAGGAGAAGTGCCTGCAAACCAAAGATGAGGTCAGAGAACCAGTGGAAAGGAGGAGGAGAGCCCCAGGCTGGGAGAGGGCAGAGCTGGGGCTGTGCAGCAGCACTGTCACCCCCGGGAGGGCTGTGCCTGGGACAGGGTGACAGGAGCCTCCAGCAGGTCTCTAGCCTGTGGTTAGAGCCAGGCTCCCAAAAATCCACGCGTAAGGGAAGCCCAAGTCACTTGGCTGGTCCCACTGTTGTAAGGATGAGTCCTCTGGGCTTCAAACAGAAATAATCATCCTCCATCTCCTGGCAGGGATGGAATGGAGAGGCTCTAACAACCGTGCAGATGGATTCCCATAGCTCGGTGGAAAATCATGTTCCCTGCAGGAGCCCTGGGCCTGTGACTCTGCCCCTGTCAGTATGTCCCTGCTGCTGGGGGACGGCAGGATGTGGCTCTGGACATGGGTGATGGTGAGAGCTGGCACCGTCCCAGCCTTCTGCTCCGGTAGCAGGACGCAGCAGGGTTCTCCCTCCTGGAGCCTGGACTTTGTGGTGCTGGTGGGACTAAGTGACCTGCTTGTCTGCTCCCAGGCTGGGCGAAGATGGTAACCAGCGTACTCTTGCTGCAGCAGGGCTGAGAGGTGAGGTACAAACCTTTTCTCAGTGGGGTCTGTTAACAAACCCTCCTCCTCCTTTTCCTCTGTTGAGGGGTTATGGCTCTGCAATGGGCTGCTGTGCTGTGGCTGGAAGTTCATGGCCTTGCCAGCAACTGGCCCTGCACTGTACCTGCAAGACAACCCAAGGCATACTGCGAGATCTGCTCAATTGCCAGTCGGGGATCAGCTGTCTTGACAGCTACTCCCTGTTCTGCTTTTTCTTTCTCCTTTTGCCATCCCCATCTCAACAGTAACGCCAGTGTTGTCCATCCCCCCAGCTAGAAGCTGCCCTGAAGCTGTCAGCAATGAAAAGATGGTTGATAGAGCTGCCTCAAACACACTTCCCCGCACTGAGGAGCTCCCAGCATCCTTGATATCATTATGCCATGGCTTTGGCACAAGGCTAAAGCATTTTCTGTGGGACATTGCCAATCTGCGTTATAGAACCCAGTCCTCAATTTTGTGCTTCCGTCGGTTTGTAGTCATAGGAAATAATATTACAACTTCTAACAGTCGACAAAAATACGTGAAATTATTAATAGGCAGCTGTTGAGTTCATGTACTAGAATATCTGCAGTTCTGACTTCAATGCAGGTGGCCTGCAGGCACAAATTTTAATCAGTGATGGAGCTGGAGGTGCTGCCTGCTCTGGAGATTGCCAGATTTGCCTTTATAGAACCCAGCATTCAATTCTAAAACCAACTGCTTGGGCTGAAGTATTCTATCAGGTGCCTGCCTTCTTTGGAATCCACCACTAGGCTAGCAATGCACCCAAAAAATTAAGCCAGAGCAAAGAAATAGGCTTACCAATGCACATATACTGTTCATCTGGCTTTCAGAAGTGCTGACAACTTTCATTTGGCACGTGCTTATTTTGCACAAGGTCAGAGATGAGGCAGGGAGTGACAGCATGGATAAAACACTCAGCAGCTTACCTGAGAGCTGGGTAGAGAGGCGAGGAGATGGAGCATGCAACTAAATGCAGGAACAGGAGCAGGATGGCCTTATCCAGCATCTTCCACCCTTTGGAGTCACCTGAAATGCAGAGCAGTCTTGAGTCAGCAGCAGTGAGATGCCCTGGGCCAGGAGTGGAGGCCAAGTGCTTTTGTATTCTTGGTCCCCCTGCTCACTTATTGACACGAAGGGACTAGAAATGTGCCTCCGTGTTTGTGATTATGGTGTTTCCCAATGCAGAGATGTCTTGATGTGGCAAAGTCTTCCCCAGGGAGTGCAATTCCTGGAGGCGATGGCTGGCTGTGACCCCTCAGGGAGCTGGTGGCTCCCTTGGGTCGGGAGGTAAGGCTTATCAGCAGGGTTTCCATGCTGTGGGACCCCCTTATTGACCTGTCCTGCTGCTGTGATTGAAGGAGAGCTCTCAGGCTGGGGTGAGCCCCAGGGACCACTGCATGGGCTGTAAAAGCACCTGGATGCTGGAGGACAGCAGTTAGCAGGGGCTGCCACAAGCAACCTCACCGCCTGCACAGGACTATCTGCCACCAGCCCCTGGGACCTCTCCTGCCCTCTGCTCTCCTGGGGACATGTGTCTGCTCACATGGCTTGGGTAGAAGGGGGACGGGACTGAAATACATCCCTTTGGAGGAGCTGAACTGCTGCTGTGTTGAGAGGAGCCCCCCCCCGCTGGCGCTCAGCGAGGCCCCTACAGAGCTCTGAGCACCGGCCTTGGTGGAAGGCGAGATGGACTTGAGCTGTGTATGTCTGCCCTCCAACAGACGGCTGCGGTGCTTCGTGTCCTGGGGCTGGCTAAAGTGCTGTGAATGACTCAGGACAGAGCTGTCTGAGGTCACACACCCTCCGGAGCTGAATGCGATGCTTTTGTCATTGCAAGCGAGGGACAGTAGGAAGATATTTCAGTGAAAGCTCTTCCTGAGTTTTGATTGATCTTTTGCTCAAAAAAGATTCTTTAAGAATGTGGATAGAAATCTTTAAAATATCAAGGTTCCCTGTTCCCTGTTGTATTTTACACAAGAAAAGAGCAGAAAGATGTTTGATCTCCATAAGAGAAAAAAAAAAAGCCCTTCCAAATGTATAACAATACTTCCTTGCAAAAAGAGCAGTTTCCAAATGGAAAAGGTTTGGTTGGGCTTCTAATTGCCCAGGTGAACTTTCCGAGCAGTGGGTTTTACTGATGGTGGTGGTAGGAGAGGGCCCTTTCTGATGGAAAACATCAGCAGTGAGCTCTGTTTTACTGCTCGGAGGTAGCTGCCCATTCTCCTGATTGTAGATCAACAGAGTGAGGGGGAAGGCTAATTCAGGACTGGTGGTCTTGCAAGTGGGTCCAGTCTTTTTACCGTGGAAGTTAATAACAGAAATGGTGGCAGTGTCAGAAGTGCATGGACAGACATGGGAAAACGTGGTGCACTAAGAAATGGGGGTTCTTATCCCAAACTCATTCTCAGCCTGGTCCCTGTTTCCAGCTGCTTGTGCCCCCAGCCAGGGGACCAGCAGGTTCCCCACCTGTTCGCCTGGGAGCAGTGCTGTCGCTCCTGGCTCCAGCAGAGCTTCTTGTGAACTCATGCGTGGCGTTCCCTACCTCCGACACACGGTCTCTTAGGGAATCGCTCTGGCCCTTCAGAGAGTCGAATGCTCAGAAGCAGCAAAAAAGTGACTTTGAGAGACTTAGAGGGCTTCTGGGTTTAGAGCAAATTTCCTGCTTGCTTCCCCCCCCACCACCACCACCTTTTTCCTTTGAACTTGAAAAAGCATGCTTCTCTTCTGCCTTTCCCCTAAATATCTCCAAGACAAATCCCAAACCAGATCTTTCTAGATAGATGATCTAATGCATGTGTCGGGGGGTACCAGGAGACTGTGGCACCAGCATCTGTAGAAAGTGCCAACCAAGAGATTCGATCAGTACCAGGAAAGCTGCTATGTGAGCTGAGAAGTTAAGTATCAATGTAAATGAAAACAGCCCAATGTTGTCTACTTCCCTTTTTTCTTCTTAGGATAGAGCCCTGATTACCACTTTCTGTATCTCGTTTCTCTTCTTTGAATGCTGGGTTTTTCTCCAGAATCACTTTTTGTCCCTTTGAGGTTTTTTTTTTCTTTCTCTACTATTACTTTGCAATATTTTGTTTGTTTGTTTCTGGCTTTGCCTTTCTTCCCCTGTCTTGCTTTGTCTTCTCTCCCTTAACTACAGTCTGCTGCTCATCCCAGCTTTTTGGGTATTTCTGTTTCCCTTTTTCTCTCGGGAAGGAGTCTGAAAAGAAAGTCCTACACTCCTTCCCAGAACTGTCTGCTATTTCAGAGGAGAAGATGGGGAATTGAAGTGTCACCCTGCATACAGGCACCTTGATGGCTCTGCAAAACCTTGTCACCTTTGAAATTCTCCTGAGGCGAGGGACACCTTAGTTTCCATTCTGGCAGCATGTAAAAAAATTATTAATAAATAAATTCTGCTTAAGATTAAGAGCTTTTAGCACCATTCCAGCAGATAAAGTGTAATAGCTTCATTCCATCCTGTGCAACGCTAACAGCAGCATTGTGAAAATGATGTTGGAGAGACGGAGTCACTATCTCTTACCGTTTCTGAAACCTTAACCTGATCGGTCTTAAAAATACCACTATGTAGATGAAACAAAGCTTTTACCATGCCTGCTGTTTCAGACTTTTGTCCTATGAAATACTACATTAGAAAAGCAGAAATCCTTTTAAGTGCCTTACTCTGCCTCGTTGTAGCTGTCTTTGTGTAATCTGTAACACACTGTTGTGTTTCTCCTCGCAGTTTGGTTTGGCTCAAACACAGTTTTATTGATGGGCGAGTAAAAGAGTGTTCATTTTCCAGGGCAAAAGGAACTCACATCAGTATAGCAAAAGAGGAAAACTGTGCTACAGCTAGTAAACATCTAACATCTTTTTACAATGGTCTTCTATATTATAATTCTATTGATTTGTATTTATCCTATAGTTCAATTGTTGTTTCATTCTATAACTTGGTATAAAGGATATTGTACCTGGCAAAGCTAATTACCGATGCTAGCTTTGATTGCATTTCAGTGTAATTTAATTGTCTCCAATTTCCAAATAGGCATTATCTTGTTAAATACGCATACAGAGACTCGCACTTACCTTTCCCTTGGAAAACAAGTGCTTCCTAGATCAGCTCCTGCCCAGGCGTTTCCTTCCCCTGATGCAAATACAACTTCTTCTCTAGAGCTGCTTCTGTGAGCCCTGCTGGGTCTGTCCCCTCTGCGCGGTGCCTGGGCAGGATCCGGGACGCGTGCGGAGCAGGGAGGACACTCTCGGATCTCTCTCCAGCTGTCCTCTAGTTGCCAGGGAGGTGCATCTCCTCTTTTTATACCTGTGCTTCCTCAGGAGTTCTGTGGGCTTCTACGCGTCAGAGAATCAATTATCCTCCTGAATTTCAAAGGCTGTGTTTAGCATCCTCTTTTTTGTGTGTGTGCAAGGACACAGGCAGGGAGGTTGCGAGGAGAGGGTTATGCCTGTAGTTGAGGGTCATTTGCATGCTTTCTCTTTATCATTCAAAGAGTGAAGAGCAAATAATAACAACGATAATCTGGCAGAGTGAATGACAAATTTGCTTTGCAAGGTAAACTTCTCTTTCCCTTTGCAATTTCATTTTTTCCTCCTACTCCACAATGAAAGAGAGTTAACCATTAATACTTTCTCACACTGCCTGCTCAGGAGGGTTTATCTTTTTGCTATTTTCTTTTTCTTTGATTATCAGCCTTTTCCTCCTTCTCCTTTGTTACTCACACCTGCTAGCGTTAGTGGGGCAGTTCATGCTTCAGTCCCTCGCAAACATCACAGCTTCACATCAAGCAGACAGAGCAGCTGGAGAGCCCTGCTCCGTTCCTGTGCTCTGGAAAATGGCAAGGGTCTTCCCTGGGGTACTGCATGCGCTGGCAGCTGTTTTCATTCCTGCAACAAGGTTTATGAAAGGCCCATTAAAAAGAACACATAGCCTTGGTGCCAAGAAGACCAGGGCAGCTCAGAGGAGTTAAAAATGAGGTGCCAGCATGAGCTCCACCTGCCAGATTTCTCGTATTGACTTTATAATGCCTAGAATTGATGGAGACCCAGACCTTCCTGTCTCGGAGCTTCTGTGATTCGATGCCGGGAAGAAGTTTCAGCAGATGAGATGACTCATACCTGCCTGCTGCGGAATACCTTCACCTTGCACCGGAGCACTCATCGCAGCTATCGATGGCAGAGATGGACTGTAGGGAATGACGGTGCATCTGGTGTGCACGTGGGTGCCTGTGTGTGCAGGGGGTCAAAAGTATTCAGTGCCGGTCTAACTTTCTGCCATTGCCCCTCTGCTTCTTGCCGAGGTGAGAAATCAGCATTGTGATTATGGCTTACTTCTTAGTGAAGTAATATCCTCCTTCCAGACCATGGGCTCTCGGTAAGCAGAATCCCAACAGTCGGAAAGGCTTGAGTGAGCTCAGCACCCCAAATGACTCTGTACTGTTAACTAACCGTTGCTCTATACCTATGCAGATGCGCCCCGACACCTTTGGGCTCTCCCTGCTTTGAGTGCTCCAGAGGCTTACGTTCCCTTTGGTATCAAGTCAGGACCAGGCCACTTCACAGAGAAATCATGAAAAAGGATTGAACGGACCAAAGCAGGAGCTTGAGCTGATCCTGAACTGAGCAGCTGACCAGGGGCCTTCCAGTGGAATCCAGAAACAGAACAACAACTTGAAGAGAAGCAAGAACTACTGCCTTCCTCCCGTTGTAAAAGGAAATGGCACCAGCCTCTTCCTGGGGAGAGGATCTGCCGTGCGAATTGGACAGGTACATCATTTGTATCATCTACTCGTGCACACTGGAGAGGGGGATTTCTGGGTAGCACGGAGCAGGTTTTACAAAATCCCTGTACTGGTGCACACAGCTGCGTACTGTCTCTGCAAACTGGAAAGGGATTTTTGTTTGCTTTTTTTGAAACAATCTGCTCATGTTCTCTCATGTGTGAGGCTGGTCGCACCAATTTTTCAGCATGACTTACTCTTCTTCCACTGTCTTGGTGCTACG